CCTAAGCGATAGATTTATATTGGGGGGTCACTTTAACGCCAAGCACACTGATTGGCATTCAAGGCATACCTCAACTAGTAGAAGAGAACTTAGGACAGCAATTGGCGGCACGGGGTGCCTTTTTCACTCTACTGCGAAGCCAACGTATTGGCCAACCGATGTTAATAAGTGTCCAGATTTAATAGATTTCTTCATAACAAAACGGATTGCGAAAAATTTCATCGAGGTACATGATAACTATGATCTTGACTCCGATCATTCGGTGGTTATTCTTGAACTTAAGGAAAATATAGTTATGAAAAGAGCAAAACCTGCGCTGACAAACGGAACTACAGATTGGTCAAGATTTCGCTTAGAGATTGAACTACAAATAGATAGAAGGAAAAGAATAAGAACGACCCAGCACATAGATGAGGAGGCCGAAAGCTTTACTAAAATTATTCAAAATGCGGTTTGGAGTAGTTCCAAATAACTATTATTATTGGTGCTATTAGAAGAGGGGCCATTAACTACCCCCCACATATACTAGCAAAAGTAAGAAGAAGCAGGCGGGCGAGAAAGAGGTGGCCGCAAACGCGTGATCCTACTGATAAAATCAGATATAATCGTGAATCGCAGCAACTAAGACGCTGTGTTAGAAAATACAAAGAGAATTCGGTTGCTAATTATGTTCAAAATTTGACGGCGTGTGAGAAAACCAATTACTCACTGTAGAGGGCAACAAAGAAAATGAGGCAACCTATCAAACATCTCGCTCCTATCAAAAACAAAGATGGAACGTGGGTAAAAACTGACAAGAGCAAGGCAAATGCGTTTGCGGATCATATGGCCGATATATTCTGCACGCATGACAGCCAAGTCGTGGATGTTAATGAGGAATATGCTTTTGTTGGGGATAGCGTGACTACTCCAATTGTCAAGGAAAGAGAGGTCATAGAAGAAATCAGGACTCTTAAACCTAAAAAGGCCCCAGGATTTGACCTAATAACGGCCGATATTTTGAAAGAATTACCCAAAAGGGGTATAACGATGCTTACGCGCCTAATAAATGCGTGTATAAGGTTCAATTACATGCCTGAAATTTGGAAAGTTGCAGAGATAAGCATGCTGCACAAACCTGGCAAACCTATAGACAGGGCGACTTCTTATAGACCAATCTCATTGTTGACTATGATTTCAGAACTGCTAGAGAAACTTTTATTGAGAAGATTTCAGCCTATAATTGAAAGTAAAAGGTTAATCCCGAATCATCAATTTGGTTTTCGCCGGAACCACTCAACCATAGATCAGATTCATAGAATAACTGACCTAAGAGAAAATTCACTGTATCATATTTTTGGACGTAGCCCAGGCCTTCGATAACGTTTGGCATTGTGGATTAATAAAAAAACTTAGGCGATTACTACCAAGGCAGTATGTTGACCTGCTCGAATCTTACCTGACTAATAGGGTATTTCGAGTTAAACAGGAAGAGGAGTGCTCTTCGCTTAGGGATATCAGGTCTTGGGTACCACAGGGGAGTATATTGGGCCCGATACTATACTTGCTATACACGTGTGATATTCCTTAATCGGAAGGAGTAACAACAGCTACATTTGCTGACGATGCAGCAGTTATCGCAATAGGATGAAATGAAAATGAATCTACACAAAAATTGCAAAGGGCCAGGATGAGATCTCAAAATGGACTAGAAAGTGGAATATAAAACTTAACGAGGTGAAATCAGTACACGTAAATTTCACTAATAGGAAAATTGACAATTCATTTTCGGTTCGAATAAATAGCGTCTTGATTCCGTCCACAAACACAGCGAAGTATTTGGGAATGACGTTGGACGTGAAGCTCAGATGGAGGGAGCACATAAAGAAAAAAGATCTCAACTAGAGGAGGAATACAGAAAGTTTGAATGGCTTTTGGGGAGGCGTTCTAAATTGACAATATACAACAAAGTTTTGATATATAATCAAATATTTAAGCCTGTCTTAAGGTATTCAGTTATGGGGCTGCGCTGCGCAGACTCATATCCAATCTATGCAAAGATTTCAAAATAGAGTATTACGGGACATTTTAAACGCCCCTTTGGTATGTCTGTAATGCCGATATACACAGGGATCTCACGATCCTAAGTGTCACAGACGAAATTAAAAAGCAAGCAGCCAATCATAAAATGCGTTTATCCAATCATGTCAATATCGAGGCGGCTCGATTGGTTGACAATCAAAACTTTGTTAGAAGACTTAAACGTACGAGACCTCTCGAGTTAGTTTAAAGCTTTTTATCTATAGAACAATATAGAACAATGAGCACTTTGTACGTATTGTGCCAGATCAAAAGCTTGTAAATAATCAAAAAAGTTAGAGCAAAATTAATGGTTAGTTGTTTCCGACTAGTTTTATAGTTTATTTTGAGGAGGGTGTTTTTTAGTGGATTAAAGTTTCACACTACTGCTTTTCATCTGACAGTGTCCTTCGAGATTTTTCACCCTTCCTCTCGGTAAAAAAAAAAAAAAAAAAAAAAATTATTGTTTAGAGTTGTTCAGTAAAATTGTCATGCAAAACTGATAATATAAGAAATTTTTTAATAAGATATGTTCTTTTTCGAGGATCATAAAATATTGTGATATTGAAATAGTTATAAATATTTGCAATTTATAAAAGATTTCAAAATAGAGTATTACGGGACATTGTAAACGCCCCTTTGGTATGTCTGTAATGCCGATATACACAGGGATCTCACGATCCTAAGTGTCACAGACGAAATTAAAAAGCAAGCAGCCAATCATAAAATGCGTTTATCCAATCATGTCAATATCGAGGCGGCTCGATTGGTTGACAATCAAAACTTTGTTAGGAGACTTAAACGTACGAGACCTCTCGAGTTAGTTTAGAGTTTTTTATCTGGAACAATGAGTACTTAGTACGCTATTGTGCCAGATCAAAAGCTTGTAAATAATCAAAAAGGTTAGAGCAAAATTAATGGTTAGTCGTTTCCGACTAGTTTTATAGTTTATTTTGAGGAGGGTGTTTTTTAGTGGATTAAAGTTTCACACTACTGCTTTTCGTCTGACAGTGTCCTTCGAGATTTTTCACCCTTCCTCTCGGTAAAAAAAAAAAAAAAAAAAAAAATTATTGTTTAGAGTTGTTCAGTAAAATTGTCATGCAAAACTGATAATATAAGAAATTTTTTAATAAGATATGTTCTTTTTCGAGGATCATAAAATATTGTGATATTGAAATAGTTATAAATATTTGCAATTTATAAAAGATTTCAAAAAAGAGTATTACGGGACATTGTAAACGCCCCTTTGGTATGTCCGTAATGCCGATATACACAGGGATCTCACGATCCTAAGTGTCACAGACGAAATTAAAAAGCAAGCAGCCAATCATAAAATGCTTTTATCCAATCATGTCAATATCGAGGCGGCTCGATTGGTTGACAATCAAAACTTTGTTAGGAGACTTAAACGTACGAGACCTCTCGAGTTAGTTTAGAGTTTTTTATCTGGAACAATGAGTACGTAGTACGCTATTGTGCCAGATCAAAAGCTTGTAAATAATCAAAAAGGTTAGAGCAAAATCAATGGTTAGTTGTTTCCGAAAGTTTTATAGTTTATTTTGAGGAGGGTGTTTTTTAGTGGATTAAAGTTCCACACTACTGCTTTTCATCTGACAGTGTCTTTCGAGATTTTTCACCCTTCCTCTCGGTAAAAAAAAAAAAAAAATTATTGTTTAAAGTTGTTCAGTAAAATTGTCATGCAAAACTGATAATATAAGAAATTTTTTAATAAAATATGTTCTTTTTCGAGGATCATAAAATATTGTGATATTGAAATAGTTATAAATATTTGCAATTTATAAAATAAATTTATTCAAAGAGGAAAAAAAATAATGAGTTTTGCTTAAATTTGTTTTTTTTTTCACAGATATCTAAAATTAAAAAATTGTTTAAAATATTTTTTATTTTTATTTTTAAAAAAATTTTTAACTTAACTTTCTTACTAATTATGCATATTTAAAGAAGAATCCAATAAAAAATAAAACACATACGCTGCTGCTATGTCTTTGACAATGCTTGGAGTAAAGAAAAGTCAGCTTGAAAAAATTTGGTTTCATTGTTTTTTCAAGATGCTAATTCGTTTAGTAATTCCAATTCGTTAGACGCTCCTTCCTGTAATATTTCTAATTCGTTGATCGCTGCAGCATCGATTTAAAATCATCTAAAAATCATGTAACACTTGGTTTGATCTTTAAAAATGTTAAAAATATGCATCGTATTCGTATCAGCTGTACATTATTCGGTTTTTATGATTTTGTATTTATGCAAAGTTTTTTAAATGGAAAAAAAGTAAAATATTTATTATATTAAAGTTCCCAAAATTTAATCGAATTAAAAAAATTTTTTTTAATAGATTTTCAATTGTAAATTATAATTCTCTGTCTCGATATGAATAAGACGGTAAACATATGGCCAGAGGAAAAAACGTACATATTAAACATTTTTTATATGGTTTTTTAATATTTTAAGGTATTTTTTCACAAGAGGTTACTCATATAATATAATACCAATTTTTTAAGAATTTCAATTTTTAATATTAATTGTACAAATCAAACCCGTTTTCTAAAAAAAGCTGATTCAGAAAAAAATTTTTGATTGTGAAATGCATTTTCGAAAACTATCTTAAACGACATTTACTTAAATAAATATAAAGAATTTGAAATTATATTAGAATTAAAATTCAATTTTTAAAATTTTATTTTGTGATGTTTTTTTTTAAGAGCACTGTAACAAGAGTTTAAACTTTAAAAAATGTAAAAACAAATATCGCTGCATGCGAAATATGCAGAAACTCTTTGTATTCACATATATAAACTGTTTTTGCATAAAACACTATAAAAATTGGCTCCACTTTTTTAAAAATGGTGGCCACCCTTTTTAGAATACTTCGGCTGCCGATCCAATCCAACGACAGCCCTGCGAACATCACTAGTGTGCGAATACTAACTACTCATTATCAGGGCTGGTATCATATAATATAATATAAAATGATAATAATCGTTTTCAGGATTTAGTTATTTTCCATGTTTTGATAGAATTTTTGTACTTCCAGTTTAGGCACATAATAAGTTTATCGAAAATAATGTATTATAAAGCATTATTTATAGCAATTCATTATTAGTGTTTATAATACGTTTTTAAATAAACGTATTATAAATGCTGTGGTTTCACATATTTTGAATATGTACGTACATCTTTTATCGATTGCATACATATTTTCTTTACTTCCAGCGGATGGAGGCAAAGGTTGGAACACCTGCTTGACATAAACAACATTTGTTACACATCATTTCATGTTTGTAAATAAAACAAAGTGTCTGCCTACCATTGTAAATATTTTTTTAATTGACAGTATTGTGTTGTAATTAAAGTTTGCACATTGGAAATTTGGTCAAAATTTAAGTTTTATTATGTCTGAATCAAAACTTGATACTAAAGTCAAAAAGTGCGATAAGACTAGAAAGAGTTATAAGAAAAAAGAAAAGGGGAAACTTGCACCATTAAATCATTATGCGAAGAAGAAAATTTTAGCTTTTTTACAAAAAGAAGAAATCGGTAACTGCGAAACTTTAACGAAGAAATTTTCTTGCGATCCACGTGAATTAGAAAGTAAGACCTTAAACATTGAGTCTACATATTTAGTCTTTAAATTCATATTCTCATTTTAGAATTTATCAATATGCATGCTAGGAACTCCGAAATTGGTGTGCAATTCGAATGTAATTCCACGACACTTCGTTCAATATTAAGTTGGATTGAAGGTTTTAGAAATAACAGTTTAAATACTACAGGGATTAAAGAGCTGCCTCTTGTTTTAAAAGCAATTAGTCGATTAGAAACTCATCCTTTACCAGTCGAGTGTGGTGGAGTAAATTTGAAGTAGACTGAAATTTTTGTACACAAAATCAAAGTTTTTGAAACATAAATTTATAAATTTTAGGGAGCTATATTTATTTTTAGCTAAAGTTATGAGCGGAGAACCAGTTCTTGAACTGAATGAAAAAAATAGAAGTTTTCTTTGTGATATTTTGGGTGTAAGAATTTATTTGTGCGATATACCGAATTGATTGTTAGAAATTAATTCCAAAACCAAAAATATTGTCAATCAATCCGGTGAATGCAAAAACAAATTTACATAAAAATTTTATTTAAAGGGCTTAATAGATGACATAAACAGTGCTGAAGGAGATGAAAATGTTGCAAAGCTGCGAGATGAATTTTTGAATCAATTTTCAAAAGAAAAAAAAATTGTGTATTTAAAGGACCAAATGCTCCAAATTGGGATAAATCCGTTAATGCTAAATTTACATTGAAATAACTTTGATGTTTTGTGCATTTTCCTCTTGTGTTACTATGATAACAAGTAAATTTATTAATATATTGGAATTTTCTAAAGTTTCGTTTATAATTTTTGTCAATTTGTTAACGTATGTACCTTACTGTGATATCGTGAAAAAGGTGATAGATAAAAGAAAAATTCTAGAATGTACACAATTGGGATAATGAAGTAGCGAAAAGATTGAATTATAGTAATACATATAGTACCGTTATGCTAACAGACTTCGATAGAAAAAATGCAAAAGTTTGTATTTTTTCGTTAGCAGGATTATATTTACATACAAATGTTATATATGTAGATATATAATTATAATAAATAAATAACGTGTAGATATATAATTACAATAAATCAATAATATGTAATTATAATAAATCAATAACGTCACGTAAGTTCAGTCATATTCAATGCGCAGTCATCTCGAAGAAAAACGATTTTGAATAAGGATATGAGGCATTTTTGCATTTCGTGTTTTTTAAATACATATTTGTTGGTTTTTTCACTTTAATCGAAATTTGTAAACTTTTATTATGGTATGAAATGTTTAAATAGTTTGCAAGGTTCGTAGTGCACATTTTTTGACGATTTTTTTAGTTGTGTATTCTTGAGGAAATTGTTTAAGTGTTAAGGCTTTTTTTGCATAATTTTATTACTAGCGGTGAGAAAATATAAATCATAGTTTTATTAAATATAAAATAAAAATAAGAATTTTATTCTAATAATTGATTTGACTGAACTAAACCTAACTTTCGTATTAAATTAATATAAATTTTACTTTATTGATACTTGTACAATTTTTTAGACTCTTGTATCATGGAAAATTTTGACTTGTACGCTAATTGTACCATTTGTGAAATTAATTTTTATTAGAAATTCATTGAGTTTGATATTTTTCTTAAAAGAATTTTTTCTCTGAAGAAATGATATAGAGGAAAAATTAAGTAAATACATATACAAATAACTCGAAACCAAAAACACGATGAAGATGATTTTTATAAATAAAATTTTGAATTATTTTACAATTAATTGCTGCTCAAAGTTGTACCATTTTTTAGAATCCAATTTATGTCAGCGTATTTATGTTAACGTAATTATTATTTTCATTATATTTTGTTCTATTCTAATGTATATTAAGAGCTGTGCATATTGCTTTTGTTAAGATTTGTTTTTAGCAGTTTTCCAGAAAACTTTTGAAGAGAATTTGTTATTAGTTTTATTCATCCGTCCATGCGTCCGCCAGTCTGTCCATGTGTCTATTTACAAAACTTCTACACCCTTTAAGATAGCTGAAATGTCATATGTACATATTCGGAAAATGAATAATAAAATAATTTTTATATGCATTTTGTATATTAATTTATTATTGTTAAGAATAACATACACATTTTTAAGAATAACGAATTTTTTAAAGTTAGAGTAAAATAGCTACAAACCAGCTAAATTACGAAAAAAACTTAGAATATCAAAATATTGTTTCAAGTCAATACATCTGTAATACTAATTTTGCTTGCTCTTTAAAATTTCGTTTGCTTCAATTGCATTTTTTGCAAAATATTGTGAATGTGACATATGGCACTCTGCTTCTGAGTCCCTCATATATAGGTGATAATAAAATTGTAAAGTTTCCTTTCTTCAGTCCTGTGAAAAGTTTGCAGCCATTTATCATGAATTCCACTCGTATAATCTTACGAATACCGAACTTAGCTACGACTGCGGACTTAGCTTAAACTTTTGAATGATCACAAATTCCTTTCGCAGAGAAAGAAATCGGCACAATTTATCTCAGTGTCAAAATCAGTATTTTATTTCACCCATGTCCACAGCTGATAGATTTAGTAAATATTTGGAATTACAATAAGGTTCTATCATGTAGAAAAAAGAAAGTCGGGGGTGGTGCTGGCTTATTTATCCATAATAGTTTGCGGTACTCTGAGCAAGACATCTTTTATGATGAATACAACAGTATTGTGAGGGTAAATATCAAGTTGAAAAAACGATATTTTAACATTTCGGCTATATACAGACCTCCTAAAAACTCTGCAAACAGTGTTGAGGTATTTTTTCAAAAGCTGGACTCACATTTGGAACACCTAAAAAACCAAAATTCAATCGTTTTAGGAGATTTAAACTTTAACATTAATAATGAAATAGATAGAAATGTACAAAGTTACTTATCTGTTGTAGAATCCAATGGTTTCCATTTATGTAACAATGAGATAACTAGACCAATTTCTAATACTTGCCTTGACCATATATTGGTACATGATCCTAATACTGAAGTACATATTTTCCTTTTTCATCATGATATTTCTGATCATCTTGGTATGATCGTGGAAATTTAAAATTTACAAAACATAAATCATACTGAAAAAGATGAACAGCTGATTAAAAAAGTCAATTATGAATATGTCAAAAATGAGTTAAGTAGATATGTTGTCAAAGATATTGAAGTTAATAACATAGTAGATGACCTGACATCTAGCGTGAAAAATATAGTAACAGAGTCACCGTTGCCAGAAAAATTAATAGAAAATGTAGTAAATATACTGCACCATGGATAGACGACGAGTGCGCTAAACTAATTGAAAGAAAAAATTACTGGTATGGGAAATACATGCAGAATGGAAGTTGTGAGTATTTCAAATCAAAATATAAGTATTGGTTGAATAGATTGACAGCTATTAAAAGAAGAAAAAAGGGAACAATATGATTGTAAAAAATTTCAACAAGCAGAAGGTGACCCAAAAAAGAGTTGGAATGTTGTAAAACAAATAATAAATTCGTCAAACATGCGAAAAAATAATTTTTTCTCAAATTTGGACATCGGTGAAACAGAAAAACTTGATAAAATTAATAAATTTAATTTGCATTACTGTAAAGTTGGTGAAAAAATGGCCAAAAAATTTGACAGCATATATTTTCCAAAGGTGAGAACAGAAAAAGAATTTAAATTCAACTTCATTAATGAATATGAAACAAAAAAACTCATTGCTAAAATCTCGAACTCAGCGTCAGTAGGCGTAGATGAAATTTCACCTAAGTTAATAAAAACATGCAAGGAAGAGATTTAAAAAAATATTGAATGTCTAATAAATGCATCACTATCTCAAGGAAAAATGCCAGAAAAAATAAAAATTAATAGAGTGGTACCTATTTATAAACGATCGGGTGATATAAATGATGTAAGTAACTTTAAACCAATTTCAATTTCATCTATTTTTAATAAAATTATTGAAATATATGTTAATTATCAACTTGTCGAACATCTAGAATCTGAAACATTAATTAATGAAAAACAATACGGCTTTAAAAAAAATTCTAGTACTCAAGCAGCTTTGTTTGACGTGGTTTCAGAAATACAATTAGGAATCGATGAAAAAAAAACAGTTACGATCGTATTCTTCGATCTATCGTTCGATTCTATCGACAGAAGTATTTTATTAAAAATATTGTATGAATGTGGTGTCAAGGGTAAGGATTACGATTGGTTCGAAAGTTATTTAAGCGAAAGAATGCAATACACGGAGTGTGATAAAATTAAAAGTGATCTACATAATGTACCATATGGAGTGATACAGGGTAATTCACTAGGACCAACTCTGTTTTCCTGCTATATGAGTGGTTTTGGAAATATAAAATTAAGGGGAAATCAAGTAGAAAACGCGATACAAGAAGATCTGGTTATAATAAATGACTGGATGGAAAAACATAAACTTACAGTTAACGCTAAAAAAACGAAGTATATGATAATAAAAAAAAACCAAATCAAACTATAAATATCAAATACAATAATGTGAATCAAGAAATGATTGAAGCATATAATTATCTGGGCATTATAATTGACAGCAGTCTCACGTGGAACATGCAAATGCAAGAGCAGATCGAGAAGACCAGAAGAATAGCTGAAGTTTTTTCGCTAATTAATAATAGAGTTCCTGTAAAAATGAAAAGATCGCTTTATTATAGTATGTTTCAGAGTACCATTACCTACTCCATTCACATATGGGGAAACACATTTGACAAAAATTTAAAAGCAATTCAAAAACTACAAAATAAGGCAATAAAAAATCTTTTCGACTACAAACACAGAACTTCTACAAAATACATTCACAAAGAACACAAAATTTTGCCACTGCATCTTTACATTAAATACAACTTGGTAACACAAATACACATGATACTAAATAACAACATAAATACATGCATTTCACCACCCGTCAATAAAAACTATCAGCACTACAATACAAGAACGGCTCAAAACTTAAGAATATTATCATCAAATATTAGATTTAATAGACAAGATACTATATACAACATGGCGTATAGAAACTACATATAATGAATTAGAAAATGAATTTAAAATTAATGAATGAGATAAATTTAAGGCAGTAGTCAGGGACTTTTATTTAAACCAAATTTAAAATACATACTTTTTTTCGCATTAAAATCAAATTAGCTTTAATTTTTTTTCTTATATCATTTTTATACCCTGCACTTCGTGAAGGGTATATTAACTTTGGTATGGAGTTTGTAACTACTTGAAGGAGTCATCTGCGGTATGGACATATATATATATTCTTGCTCAGCGTAAAATTCTGAGTCGATTTAGACATGTCCGTCCGTCCGTCCGTCCGTCCGATCGCACGATAACTCAAAAACGAATAATGCTATCGACACCAAACTTTCACAAGTTTTTTCTTTTGTGCCAAGGACGAACCCTATTGTTATTGGACTAATTCGGACAACGGGTTCGGGTAGCTGCCATACAGCTCAAAGAGTTTATTTTAAATATTTCGAAAACTAATAAAGCTATAAATATAAAATTTTGTATACATGTGTCCAATTATATTCTACACATGCTCTAAAAATTATAATGGGATAGCTGCACTGGTTCGGGTGGCTGCCATACAACTCCAACAGCAAATTTTTTATATTCGGCAAAATAATAAAGTCAGATTCATGAAACTTGGCAGTCATGTGTCCAATTATAGGTCAAATATATTTCTGAAGTTTTAGAAGAATTGCTTGACAGGTTCGGGTACCTGCCATACAACTCCAGAAGCTAATTTTAAATATTTGGCAAAATAATAAAGTCAGATTCATGAAACTTGGCAGTTGCGTGTCCGATTGTAGATCAGATATATTTGTGAGGTTTTAGTGGAATTGCTTGACAGGTTCGGGTACTTGCCATACAACTCCAAAAGCGTATTTTAAATATTTGGAAAAATAATAAAGTCAGATTCATGAAACTTGGCAGTTGTATGTCGAGTTATAGGTCAGATATATTTCTGAAGTTTTGGTGGGATTGCTTGGCAGGTTCGAGTAGCTCCCATACAAGTCTAAAAGTTTATTCTTAATATTTGGAAAAATAATAAAGTCAGATTCATGAGACTTGGCAGTCGTGTGTCCAATTATAGGTCAGACATATTCCTAAAGTTTTGGTGGGATTGCTTGGCAGTTTCGTGTAGCTCCCATACAAGTCTAAAAGCTTATTCTTAATATTTGGAAAAATAATAAAGTCAGATTCATGAAACTTGGCAGTTGTGTGTCCGATTGTAGATCAGATATATTTGTGAGGTTTTAGTGGAATTGCTTGACAGATTCGGGTACTTGCCATACAACTCCAAAAGCTTATTTTAAATATTTGGAAAAATAATAAAGTCAGATTCATGAAACTTGGCACTTGTATGTCGAGTTACAGGTCAGATATATTTCTGAAGTTTTGGTGGA